AAAAAACTTGTTTTCAAATAAAAACAAAGGGAGAATAGGTATATACACCTAAGAATTAGAATCTAGCAGTGACACCACACATCCAGCACACAGGCATGCAGCTTAAGAAAAAGAACAGAAAAATAGCTTTGTGTCACTGGGAAAAGGGAATGCTTAATATGAAAACAGCAGCTTCTTGTGGCTGTTTTTGAGTATCAATATTAATTGCTGGGGAAAAATTACAGCCAAACTAGAGTTTAACAGCGGCTAGCAGCAGCAGCCCAAAATACAAAGCCTGCTTCTCTCAGGTTCTGGGGGTTGGAAAGGAAGACTAGGAGAATGAGGGAAACCGAGAGGGAGTAGAACAGAAAAGAGAACACTCTACGGACAGTGGAGGAGATTGAAGAGGAGAAGGTAGTACAAGGGAAATGCCTTAGAGCAATGGTTCCCAACCTTGGGTTTCCACATATTCTTGGACTACAACTCCCAGAAATCCTGGCCAGGACAGCTAGTGAAGGCTTCTGGGAGTTGCAGTCCAAGAACACTTGGGAACCCAAGGTTGAGAACCAATGCCTTAAAGGAACCCCAGAAAGGTTACTGAATAGAGGTAGAAGCCCGAGGAGAAGAAGAACCAGAGCCCCCAGGTGACTGGGGGTATTATAGAAATAAGACCTCTGGATGAGGGTTATGGTACAACTGAGGGTAGCCCAGTTACTGGTGAGAAAGGGAGCACCAGAAGTGGATATTTTGACAGAAGGAAGCCCAAGCCAATGAAACAGGTTCAATCCTGCCAGAGGCTGCAGTAAAAAAGAAAAGAGCTGAAAGTGATATACAGAACAACACAGATGGTTACCAGGATAGTGACACTCTAAATCCTTTCTCCCTACTGGTGTCAAAAAAAGAAAAAGAAAAAAAAAGAAAAAAGAATTGTTCACACAAACACTGCCCATGCACTGAAGAGGGAATAGTGTCACTTGCCACACCCACCCCAAAAACCAGAAACGAAAGGAGCACTATACACAGGAACCAAAATTTTTTTAAAAAAAAACTGCTAAGAGAAGAGCAGGATTCAAACCTCTTCTGGATGAGCTATAGCAACTACATCCACATTGGCATGAGGTCCTTTGTCTCATGCACCCAACATAAGCACTACATGGCAAATGCTGTAACTATTCACTATGAAAGCCCACTCTCTAAGGATAGCAATTAGCCTAAGACAAACTTTTCCCTGCCCCCTTTCTCCTCGTGGACACACAGAAGTAAGTTATACAAAGCTGGTGACTCCTTGTTGCTACCAGTTTCTAGGCATAATTCAAAATGTTGATTGTGACCCATAAAGCTCTATATAGCTTGTGACTAGGCTCTTTCAAAGACTGCAGTCTCCCAAAGGTGTCTGACTGTGCTTCAAGATCCTTAGAAGATTTTCTCTCATTCCCACCACTATCAGAGGTGAAGTCAGCAGGGTCTCCTTGGTAGCTGACCTCCAGCAAGGGCTTCCAAGCTAATGATATCCTTGTTTTCTGCTGGAAAAGACAATTTACATAGACTTGGAGCAAGCTAGGGTACTGCTTACTTCTTTTAAACTCTTTCTGGGCATTTTTATTTATTAATTTATTAATAAATTTACCGATGTATTTATTTATTTATGTATTTATTTGTGTACTAATTAATTAATTAACTTTTAGCCAGCTTGCACTCTGTTATAGCAGAAAGACAAAACATGAATTTAACATATCAATAAAAGCAAATAAATAAGAGAAAGAAGACAATGAACCCAAGACTCAGGTTTGTTTATTCACATGCCAAAAACATGCCTCCTATTATGTTCAAATGAACCCTAAATCTTCGCAAATACATTGAACCCTAAATCTCCTTATGCACTCTTCTGCTTTGTTCAGTCTAATGCCCACAATTTGCTCTGAGCTGTTGTTTGGCCAAAAAATACACTACTATCACTATCAAGCTCCCTATCCCATCCTTCAAAGTTACGCAATCAACTTTCTGTGATGATACACACATCACTGGATAGCACATGCTATCATCACTAGCTTGCATAATCTGTAGTGAGAGATGTTGGGAACCGGCAGTCTAACAACATCTAGAAGACCTCAAGTGGTCATTCCACCACCATCAACATAGGTATATATATGACAGCAGGTCCGTACTAGGTAATGGCTGTGGATATATATACACCATGAATGCTGCCACCATTGGCAGATAAAGTGATAGAATGTTGAACACGGAGCTGGTGCATTTAGAACGTGATATGAGTTGGCAGTTAGGCAGTTTCACAGAATCATAGAATCATCAAGTTGGAAGTTGGCTGATATTCTCTTGCTTAGCATAGAAATCACAATTAGAGGCCCAATTTACAGAGCAGTTCACTCACCAAATCCCCACTGATTCAATGGATCTACTTCTACTGCAACTTATTACACTAAGCAGCAGGATTTGAGCCATTGTGTTATGCGGAGTCTGTAGAAATAGCTAATTGTAAAATTGAAGGTAGGAGAGAGTAGACGATAAGAGAGTGAGTGAGAATATTATTAAAGAATATACATTATTTTTGTTTTTCCACTTCAGTTTGAACTACCTGATACATTACTTTCCCCTTCTTCCTTCTACATGTATTTCACCTAATAGATTCTTATTGTTTGATTCTTAGAAAAACTCTCATTATTTATATGTAACACTTCAAAGATATTAGCAGGCAGAGAAATGCACAGAGTGTAACACTCATGTTAGGTCAGGCAACACAGTATCAAGACTTTGACAAGACAACAAAATTTACATGTAAGAAACCTCTTGACTTAACATCTAAATCAGGGGTCTCAAACATGCGGCCCAGGGGCCATTTGCAGCTGGCTGGACAATAACTTGTGGCCCCCGCCTTGCTTGCCCCCCAAAGCGCCCACGCGTCCTCTGCTGTCAAGATTAAAAAGAAGCCTCGCTCGCTCGCCAGCTCTCTCCCAAGACAGCACCTCTTGCACTCTCCAACCGGAACTGCAGCCTGCCAGCCAGCCCACTTGGCTAAGGAAACTCCTGGGCGGCTTCCTCGGGCTCTTGCTCTGCTTGGCGGAAAATCTGATGCGGCCTAGCCTCACCCAGATTCTGCCTCCAGGGGCCCCCAGGTAAATTGAGTTTGAGACCCCTGATCTAAATAATACTCATCACAAGTGGGGCAAGAAGGAACTGGCTGGTTGCCACAGTAATGGGGCAATCCCAGACAGTTTGGACAGGTTTGGGGCAAGGGGTGTCCCTTGGGCTAATGCCTAACTGTGTGGCACTAAGAAGAGGTGGCTAGCTTTCTAAAGTGAAGGTGCCAATGAGATATCTTGCAATCATATTGTGCTTGCGTGACTCAGTAAGAGAATGAAAGTAGTGAAAGGGGATACTTCCCTGGAGACACTGCACCATATGTTCCCCATCCATTATCTAAACCAGTGTTTAGTAGCTGGCTGAAGCAGAATAGCCTACAGACACCATGTCCCCTGCAGAGATAACACATGTTCGGCTTTGCAAATAACTTTTGCAAGCTGGCAATCTCCTGAGCTGTCTCCTGCTGCCAGATTACAGCCAAAGCCATAAAGAAATTTCATTACCTTCAACATGTTCTGTAACTGCAGCCCTGGACTACTGGGATGTGAGGATCTATGCTGTCTCCCCAAGGAATAAGCTAGTGCAGAAAATATACCTTCGCCTAAGGTAAAAACCATCAATTTAATGCAAGAGCCACCTTACTTGAACTTGATAGGTCCCAAGCCAAATTCAAGAAATGAAATACCTAGAGTCTAAATACCGAAATAAGTACCTCATTAAATATCTAAAATGTAAGCCATGGGTATTTGGGGGCAGCATGGCTCCTGGCGCAAGCAAGAAGATTTCTCCTCCTGATTACAGACCAGAAAAACCGACAGGAAGCTCCACTGGGTCCCCAGGGCTGAACTTTGCTGGCAGCAACTTTACAGCATGGCTGCCAAAAGCTTCCAGATGTTCTTGGCAGCCTTCACTTCTCCAAGCCCATGCCAAAAAAGATCAGGGACGGTGAAAGCTGTGGGCAAATAATATCTGAACAGCCACGAGGTTTCTCTCCCCCCCCCCTCTGTTTATTTACAGGGCACGTGCCATTTGAGAAGGACTGTTTCAACACGGTCAAGATAAGTACTGTACCCTGGAAAGCAGAGAAGGTAGAAGAATACAGTATAGAGAAAGGATCGGGGGCAGGACATCTCTGGTAATAGGATGAGGTGGCTGTCGAACAAAACCAGGCAAACAAACCCCAGAAAATAAATAAATAAATAAATAAAAACCAGAGCTAACGAAAAACGTGTTGGAGAGAACACATGCAAAAGGGAGAGCCGGTGGGAAGAAGCGCAGCTTCAGGGAAGCCGGCGAGTCCTCACACCGACAGCAGAAAAACATCAGACGATGGGCAAGTGGGCGCACCATTCTCCCCATCCCCACGTACCCCGAACACGCGAAGGGCCACGGGGGGGTGGGAAGCGCGGGCGGGCTGGGAGGAGCTGATAACGCTCAGCGACAGAAAAGCTGCCTCGTCCTCAGAGGGAGAGAGACTCTGGCGTCCTTCGGCGCTTCACCGCCCCTCCACTGAAGCCGGAGGGGAGCTATCGCGCCCAAAAGCTTCGGGGCGAGGGCAGGCAAGGGGAAAGAAGGCGAG